TCATTCCCCGTTCTGAAAGCTTATGAAAAACAGCTTCAAGTTTAGCATAATTTCCATGTGTTAAAAATAGCTGCCCAAAGGCAGTTACTGCATTTGGCACATGCAATTCCACTGACTCTGTAGCCTCACAGAAACTACTCTGAGCTACTAATGAGTTTTTCAACAGTACAACTGCTTATGTTGACTGGATACTTTTGTCTCAATGTCAAGTTTCAGAGATCAACTTGTCTAAGTTCTGTTCGTTTGATAAGACTGCTCATAAAGGTGGAAGAATATAAACACACGAGCAATGTATCTTAAAAACCTTATTTTTAAGGTAGATAGGTAGAGCTAAACAAAAGCTGGTTTTATATTGTGTCCCCATGTTTTAGTCTTGGTCACTTAAGATAGTTGATTTTACCAACATCTCAAAGTTTCAGACTGCAAACATACATTTGTCATCTTAAATAATATCTCTTCACTGATAAGACACACACTCTTCTTTAAATGAATGGTTATTACAAATGGCAAATCCCGAAACAAAGTCTTGAAACACACCCTTGGCCTATGACAGATTATGAAACCTGAAAAAGGTGAGCATAATTAAGGCACTAGGACTTAAGACAATTTCTAGTAGCTTATATTTCTATTTGCCATGTATCAACATGCCCAACAGCGCACTGCAAGTTTCTTTGAGCCTCTAACTTAGAGAGTAGTAATTACTTGCTAGTTCAGAATTTGAGCTCTGGTCTTCCTCAGAGCAGTTTCATCACTGGCAATCTTATCCCAGACTGGTTTGGGTTGGAAGGGACCTCAAAGCCCATCTAGTTCCAACCCCCTGCCATGGGCAGGGACACCCTCCACTAGCCCAGGTTGCCCAAAGCCCCATCCAACCTGGCCTTCAACACTGCCAGGGAGCCAGGGGCAGCCACAGCTTCTCGGGGCACCCTGTGCCAGGGCCTCAGCACCCTCACAGTCAAGGACTTCTGCCTCAGATCTAATCCAAAATCTCAGACCATTTAAAGTCACTGAACCTGGGCCATCATTGCTGTGATGTGAAATACAGGGAAACTGTTTGCTTAGTGTTATGACCTGGTTTGAAAAGTCATGTTTACCTGTCCAGGGCACAGCAGCCAGATTTATTTGCTTATCACCAGAACTGTGAGAACCTTCGGGTTTGTTTTTGTTTTAATGAAGGCACAGCCTGTGTGGCCTCTGGAGTTGCTCTAGTTCTCGAGATTTAATCCACTAGATTAAATCCACTGCACATGTGGCAGCAGCAGCCGCCCTTTAACACCTACAAGTATTATTTAAATCAACTTCAGCCAGATTAGATATTAGCGATATTACAGCAGTTGCCTGCAGCTGGTGTTTTACTCATCTCCAGCACTCAAATCGTATCAGATTTTGTTATTGTTGTTAAAAAGACAGTATTTTTTTTAAACAAAAATACAACCAAAATGCTTTCAATTTGCACTAAATGGCTGGCTAAATAGCACAAACATGCCATCCCATTTGCTGAAGGAATGGTTAAACCCTAGAAAAAGTGGTTTTGACTGGAGACACAAAAATATAGGAAGCAAAACTTCAAAGGGGCAGGTTTCACTAGTTCTTAGAGCACTTTTTGTCTCCAGGCAGAAATTTGGGAGGATTTCAGGCACTCACATACCCACTCTGATGCAGAAAAGCTATTAGCCAATTGCTTTAAGCGTCACACCGCCATGAAAAGCAGTTGTAGAATACAAGATACTACTTTTTGTATCTAGGAACCAAAGTAAAATTTTAACATACAGAATATTAAGCCCTTTCTTCAGTGGTTGCCAGCATATCCTATCTTCCCAACACCACTTAATACTGAAAGGTCTATTTTTCAAAGTTTACAGAAAAGAAAGGATAGAAAACTAAGAGAATACTAAATATAAACCTATTCCCATTAGTGCTGCAAACGTGCTGAGAGCTTGATTATGCAGACATGTCCAGAACATGACCTCAGATGAATTTGGCCCATCCTGAGTGTTATGTGAAAGGTGAAACGTGTTACTGTATAACCTATTACTACCAGCTACATAATATTTAGAAAGCCTTTAAGTGACCTCTTTTCAGGAAATCTGACAATATGGCCAAGGGACAAAAACCTCAAAATTTTAGTTTTCCAGTTGGGGTGGTTAATTTTTGTTAGTTAGCCTTTTTAAAACAAATGGTTGGAAGAACATTCGTCATTTCCATATGGCATGAACAACTTATTAGCAGCACTATGTTTGCCTGAGGATCTTGTCCCTGCCCCAAAACAAGAAGGTTCATGAGAACTTCCTTGTGTAAAGCTAAGCTGTCTGGGTACTTAAACTTTTCCTCCTGCTTAATTAACTTGTAAATCCATGTAACTAAGCATCTGAGCACACAGGCACTATTTTAATCCAACACTCAAATTTTCTACTGTTCACACACTCTGGCATTTCTAATTGATTTTTTTAATCAACATAATTTGAGCCAAGCACGTGCTTTTCATTAAGGCCTATTCACAAGCTTCATAAGTTTTAGCTATTCATTTCTTTCCCCAAAAAGCAGTTTTCACAGCAGACAAATCAACCACAGAAGTTCAAGTTTTGCAGTCTTTCAAGAGTTAAGAACTCGACTGCTCTCTCAGTCGATTTTCAAGCTGTGCACACGATTACAGTGGCTATGCCACACCTGGCAGCACAGTACCATCAGAGTAACAGGGATGCAGACACCATCATCACCAGGACTTGCTTCCTTTGAAAAGCTTAAACAAAGCCAGTACAATCTATTCTTCGTATTCACGCATCTCGTGAAAACATTAGGAAACCACATGTGCAGCTTGTGAATTTTTACTACAGACAAATACTGTATCACAAAAAAGTCTTCAAAATGTGGGATTTGTGTGGCCAGATGCAAACTTTTACAGTGTAGACACCTCCCTATTCTCTTTAAAGCCAATGGACAGAAGCAGGCAGACAGCAATTTATTTCCTCCCAAAGTGCATGTCCTGTCAAATGAATCACAACTCAAGTTACGTCCATTTCTCTCTTCTGGTTGTAAGTGGAACATGCTCTCACAAAAACTATCTTTGGAAAGAGTTCATGGGCTAGTTACTCAAGGCTGGACTCCTGGAAGAGGTGGCCAACCAGACTGCTTGGTAGGAGAAAAAGGACACCTGACAAAAAGAGACTAGAGATTATTTTAAAAGAAATAAACTCTATCCCCAGTCTTTTGAGCTAGATACCAAAGGTAAGCAGCAGTACAAAAGGCGCACCTGTAAAAAAAGCAGAGTTAACATGAAAGGGAATAGAAAGGATTCAGGACTACATGGAGGACTTTGCCTCAGTTCCCAAAGAACTTTCCTAGCTAGGAAGGAAACAGGCAAAAATAGCACCTAGGTAGGGTCACAAATTATGACTTCTAACTTTGCTGGAACTAGAAAATGCAATATATACTCCTTTCTACTGAAATATAATCATCAGCAGGCCTAGTGCTGGGGCCTAGAAAAAAAACTGTTCTTTTTAGGACAAAGCAAAAAGAAAGGAGGATGTTTTAGCTCAGAGGCAGAGCTAAACAGGAGCTAGACTCAACAGCATGTCTAGAAACTTTAAGAGACAGTGCTTGGACTCTTGCCTTCCCACGATCGAGCAAAGTGCATGGCTCCAGCAATCAGGTTTCAAAAAAACCCAAACAAACCCACACTAGCGACCATCCAGCAAGGAGAACTTTATCAAGACTGACATTTTCATTTCTTGTCAGCTTTATGACAGACAGTCAGATACTTCCAGAAGAAGGACCACAGTTCAGATTAGACAGGATTAAACAGGGCTCCAGTGGGTCAAGTTCATGACCAGCTGATATAATAGTGTTTACTCTGGAGCATGCTTCATACTATACAGAAGTGGAAAGGAAATGTGAAAACGCATGAACAAATCAATCAGGATAACCGGCACACATTTTCTTCTTTCTGTTTAACAAAGACTAAATGTTAGTCAGTATCAGAGTTCTCTTCTAACAGGCTGTACCAGAATGTAACCAGAACTTCATAACATATCCCCTGGTTGTTTTCCACTAAGAAAAAGACAGACAGAAAGCAGTTTTTAGTTTAAATATACTTTACAGAATCAAGAAACAGCACATTTAAGCTTTAAGAGAGCTTATAAAATAAAGACTTCTGAATAAGCAACCTAGAGTTAACTTTTCCTACCACTTCACTGTAGAATACAGAGCTAATGCTTCATACAGGCAACAGTGACACCTACCGTTAACGCTATCAAATGGATTCAACTTTTACAACTGATAAAAAACCAAATCCATTTTCCCAAAGACTTTTGAAAAAATATCAAACATTTCTTTTTCAAGTGTTTCCTTTGTAGCACATCTATTCCAATTACTGCAGAACTGAAGTTATCAACCTGTCCTATAAAATGTCTTTTAAATACAAATTCCTCAAAACCAACCTGTTTAAAAACTCTATTATGCTTCTCTACAGCTAACATTCTTGAACTGTTAATAATTAAAGCAGATCTGAAAAAGACCTTCTTGTTTACCTTCATACTAGCGTTTCATGGTTTTCACCACCAGAGACAGCTAAGTAACCACCCAAAAATGCAGTTACCATCCCTTTCTTATACCATACAGGTGTTGGAGTAACCGGGTCCTGACTATGCAGTGCCTCTCTCCTGTATTACAGGGCAGAATTATGCAAAAGGTAAATTCAATTCAGTGGTTCAACATTAAAAAAAATTCACAAAAAAAATCCCACCCACTTAGGTGTGTAGCTGGTTTGTTCCAAGTACAGCATCATTCTACCAAGTTAAGTTTTGGCAAGTTGCTTCTTTTTTTTCCCCCCATTGTTCTGATTTAAATAAATTTCAATTTTGTTGAGGAGAACAGAGTAGGGGCTTTCTACAGAAGCTCCATGATTTCAACATTCACAAGGCAAGTCCATTTTGTATTTGGAAAGACTCCTTACACACACACTAAAAAGTTACAGCTACACAGAATGTTCTCAAAAACCTTACCTAAGCAAAGAGAAAACATCGTAGGAGTTACGAACACAGTTCTGATCCACCTGGAGAAGGCTATTCTTCAGGGTACCTGAGTGATCCTTAAAGCAAAGAAAGAATGTTAGTTAAGAATCAAAAAGATTTCCATCTTGACTAAAAGCATGCACTTTTGGTAGAACAAATGATCTTGCATTTAATGTATTTTAAATCTGTCTTCATAGAGTTTTATGTAAGGCAGGTAGAAACAATTTAAGGCGGCAATAACACCAAGATCAAGTCTGGCCTACAGCACCACTTACCTATAAATATATTAGTGAGCTATCACTTTATCTGTGTTCTAGACATGGCATGTGTTTTCTTCAACTTTATAATCCATTACTGCACAAGTTTTATGCACAGAAATACTGAAGGATGCAGTTTACAGTACTGCCATTCTTCAGCTTCAGATCTGAGAGCCTATTCAGTAATAGGCCAGAAAAGTACAAAACCATGAGATAAAGCTCTATTCTTTATCCATGCTGTAACGTGTTTAAATGATCAAAGCAATCTTAGTTTCGAATGATGTGAACAAGTGATGTCATTCTTAACAGACTAAAGCATACATTCTGCACAAGAGGCACCGAAACAGTAACAGATTAACAGCAATTCTTCGTGCTGCAAAGGTCAGATATGAAGCTTTTCCGTATCAGGCATAGCCACACAAATTCCCAGAAATGCCACAAACTCAAAACTGTTTCTTCACATGATAAAGCAAATAAAACCACCTGACAGCACTGTCAAATGTCATGGATTGTAGGAAAAAAGGGATTTTAGTGTATGAAGCAGCCTCAGTTGGTACACATGACCAGCAAGTTTTCCAACAGTGATACAGATGTGCTCCGAGTACCACAATCCCTGCCTACGTATCCTTTCCTGCCCCACCAGGCTGTTTCCATACAGGAAATGTTGAAATGCAGAGTTACATGCCAACATCCACTGACATGGCTGTGTTAGCCACAGGCCATGCCGCAGACGTTCCTTCCCACCAAAAATAAGGTTCCACCTAAATAATTGTGAGATTTATACACTACATTAAGCATCATATTGCAACAGAGGCACCACATCAGCACTGTCTCAGCTCCTCATTTCCGTTCTTAATATGTTGAATTCTACATGCTGAAATCCATACATATATCCGCTGAAAAAATATCAAAATACAGACATCTTAACACTTGGATGAACTAGGACAGTGGAAAGCTGAAAAAATGCACAGTTACCAGCATCACCATTTTACACCATGAAGTTGACCTTGCTTCAAGAAACACTGCAGTCAGAAAGTGAAATGTAAAATTTCTGTGTGCAAAAAATTTTTTGCACATGTATTTCTAAACATACAAAAAGGCTTTGCTTGTGTTAAGTGGCCAGGATCTAGTTGCTTTAAAAAAAAAAATGCGTATGCAGGGAAAGACTCTACCTGCATTGATGGATACCACATATCAGAGAGAGAGAAAGATGCAGCTTTCCAGAGATAAGGGTCTTTCCTTCTCAATGGCTGAAAAAGTAGCTACAATTCAACATCCCTGAAGAATATCATCTCCATCAAAGGCAGTGGCCTTGGCAGTGCTGGGTTAACGGTTGGACTCTTAACGGTCTTTTCCAACCTAAATGATTCTGTGATTTTATGACAACTAGGTTTTTTGTCTGTTGGAGCGAGTCCAGAGGAGGCCACGGAGATGATGCGAGGGCTGGAGCACCTCTGCTCTGGAGACAGGCTGAGAGAGTTGGGCTGGTTCAGCCTGGAGAAGAGAAGGCTGCGGGGAGACCTTAGAGCCCCTTCCAGTCCCTCCAGGGGCTCCAGGAAAGCTGGAGAGGGGCTGGTGACAAGGGCAGGGAGTGACAGGCCAAGGGGAATGGCCTGAAGCTGCAGGAGGGGAGATGGAGATGGAGATGAGATGGGAGGCAGAAATCCTTCCCTGTGAGGGTGCTGAGGCCCTGGCACAGGTTGCCCCGAGAAGCTGTGGCTGCCCCTGGCTCCCTGGCAGTGTTGAAGGCCAGGTTGGATGGGGCTTTGGGCAAGCTGGGCTAGTGGAGGGTGTCCCTGCCCATGGCAGGGGGTTGGGACTAGATGGGCTTCGAGGTCCCTTCCAACCCAAACCAGTCTAGGTTTCTACGATTCTATACAACTTATTCTTCTGTTCCTCCATCCTCCTGAGCACAACCAAGTGTTTTGAATTATGGAGAGCTGTGTAAACTAGTTCAGGTTTTATTTCTTTAAAGGAGACAACAGAAAGCTAGTCATTAACTAAAAGCTATCCTTGCTTCCCTAAATGCACTTTCTGAAAAGACATCACTGCAAGAGCAAGGGCGAGACTTATCAGTCAGTAGCAGCAAGCATCAAATGGTTTAAAGAAAACTTGAAAGCCAGGAAGGCATTAAGGAAACCAGAGAAGGAGAAACCTGGTTTTAGAAAAGCCAGTATAGCACCCAGAACAGATTTTTTTTTTTGAACCTGGGTAAAAAGTGGTTTTATGCACAAGCTCACAGACTCAGACAAAACCAAGCAGATTCAGAAAATTGCTAGAGAATTGGGAATACTTTAGGTTCGGTTTGACAGCTTCAAAAAAAAATCTCTGAAGCTCACATCTATCTTATTGAAACACTGGTCCGGTTCAAGCAAATCCAAATAGAGTTTCAGTGTATGATTACTAGAGAAGATGAAACTAAGCAAGGAACAAGTGTTTCAGTGGTCCCATGCCAGAAGAGAAACAGGAACATAAATTGGACATGGTTGTGACAAAAGAAGCAGAATCCCGCTGAAATCTTGTAGCAAAAATACTGCATAATTTACTATAATATAATAATAAAAAAAGCTTGAAGAAAACCAGAAGTTGGAGGTACGATTACAAAGTCAAATTTTGTTAAGAACAAAGCAGGTATACTGGCAGCACACACTTGTACTAACACTGAGAAGACAAGCTGTAAGGGCTCGAAGAGAAGTTACATGAGCACTGTCAGACACCTGCAGTAAAGCAGTAACCACCTTCAGGGCTCAGAAGACATACACAAAGGCTTTTGAAACTTTATTTCCCAACTTTTTTCTTGCCATGAGCTAAGCATGCATTGCAGCAAGAAAACTGCAACCTGAATAACAATTACGCAAAGAAAACATTCAGTTTTTTCATTGCATATCAGCAACAGCCAACTTGCTGCAGACAGAAGAAATGGAAGAAAGGTAAAATTCCTAAATATCACCAAGGACAAAAAAAAAAATGAAGTGTTATTAACAACAATAAAGAGGCACTAGATACGGTTCTTTTATTCTGTTAAGACAAAAATTGCTATACTATAATTGCCTTGCTTACTTAGAATTTCTCCACCAGTATTGCTGCTAGGGTTTTACACTGTGCTCTTTTATATGACAGGAGCTTGCTGCAAAGCAAGTATTTTGAGCACAAACCTGCATTTTGAAGGTTAGCTCATATGGAAGTGGGCTTGAAGGTTCTAACAGCACAGTGCATTAAACTTAAGTGAAGCTGTAAGCTTCCAGTGCTTTGATTTTAAATGAAACAATTTAGCAATTAGAATATTCCTATTTAAGCATGTTGCTCTTGCTGGTTTTGTTTACTAGGGAGATACCCACTTAGTCAATAAATCTACAATTTTCATCAATAAAAATAGTAGCTGTGATAGTGCCTGATGTTCCTACCCTACTTTAATTTATTCTCCTACTACAGCTTTTGGGTTCCCACCTCTCTTACCAGAGGTTAAGTTCACAGGAAAGAAAATGGGAATTTGCATTTAGCTCCAGATAGATCAAGTAATGCTCAGAAGTACATCTACACTGTCTTTTGAAACTCCAATTTCATGAAATATCACCAGAATGGTGTAGTTACCTTCCAACACTTTTCTTATTTTGGCTCATAAGTGATCTGAATTAACGACAAAGACATTTAATACACTAATAAAGTGTAATATGTAATATTCTATAAATCTACTTTGGCAATTTAGTTTGTAGTCCAAAGAATTATTGAAGTAACAAGGGTTATTTGGAGCAATGGAAGAAAAAAAAAAAAGAAAAAAAAGAGTACCACACCTTAACTTTGGTCATGCTGAGAGACATGCAGAAATGGAGGACACTTCCAGCATTGACTGAAGTGTCCTTGTGCACAAGGTTTTCATTAGACTTGCAAAATGGAATTTGTACGTATCTATTTTCATAATGAGGTTTCATACGTGTCAGTGCAAAGAAACTAAAACTGCTATTCCATCCATGTATTATCTCAAAAATTGAGGCTTATGACTAAGATGTCTTGAAGTATTATGAAGACCCGTCACTACCACCACAAAGAAAAAAAGCACCCCAAGAGATCAGAAGATACCCATGCAATCAACTAGAAAAAGTATTGTATTGCAGTTTCCACGGGATCAGAGGTGCACACCTGACACCAGAAGTGCCTTCCTACACAAGGATTCAGGTAGCACTTCATAAATAATATTTAACACAACTAAAGTGGGGCTGTATAATATTTAGAATATCCAGCATTGACATGAAAATTATAAAGCAAGACCAACTAAGAGCAGAAATACCCCTTAGGTCCACAAAGCTTCTGAAAGTCACAGGAAGAGTTTGCATGTGCCAACTAGTTTGGCTTGAATGGCAGACAAGTCACTTAGATATAGGAGGTATGTACTATACAGAAAGAGATTTAGGTCAAGGAACTGACAAAGAAAGCAACTGGAAGCTACAGAGCACACTTCTAGCACTTGCAGCTAGAAAGAATTGAATAAATTATAGGAAAGGACAAAGGAGGAGATTATTTGTGCTCTACGTGGGCTACAACCGTATCTGACTTCGCTACGGAGCATGTACAAGAACCAAAAGTGAGATGTACTTTTAAACCTTATGAGCTAGGCAGCAAGTCCTGACAACAAACAATCAGGGAAGAAGACAGCTTTACCATCACTGAATTCAGGCCCAGATTACTAATACTGAAGTCATGAAAAACTAGAATTGCATCCTGCTTCAGGAAAACTGAGTTAACAGCATCAGGAAGCAGAGTCTCAGCCGCGTACCAAACCATGTACGATTCGAAGGATAACTTTTACAGTCAACTGTTGTTGCGTCCATCCAAATCCCCACAAGATCAGACTTGCTGGTTGTGGCTAATACAGGAACTGTAGCTATGTGTCAAGAGTCATCTTCTCTCTAGCCAGGGACTCTTTGTAGAGCCTACTGATACCACAGTACTGCCACCAGCAGTTTGGGATTAAAAAAACCTGTCAGCTAGGCTATGTACAATAGGCAAGTTTATTTTTTTTTTCCATCATTGATGTAGTAATCAGCATTGCTGTATCATTAATTTGGCTGCAGTCACAGTACTGGCCAGACAAGCACAAGTACTGCAGTGGAATATTTGGGGGGGAAAAAAACAAAACAAAACATGGGGTGAAACTGTCACAACAGAGAGAAAATAAGTAGCTTCCCATTTAAAAGCTACAAACTCTGTTTTTTAAGAGTCATATCCAAAACTTAGTGTGCTTTTGTATTTGCCATGAAAATGAGTCTTAACAGCCACACCATTTTCAAAATGTTCTATATTTGAATTAAGCGTGCCTCAAAGAACAAAGTCAAGGCTTATTTTTGGTAACTAGGGGGTTTTTTTTGGACTTAAAATGCTATGCTTTAAGTCTTCCCAGAACAGCTCAGATGTCCACGCAACAGAGGCAAGATAAAAGTTCTCATCTGTCGTGAAAAAAGGCATGTCTTCTCAAAAGAAAGCATTTTAATGTTCTGAGCATCCAAGTGTGAAAATTTAAGTGTACAAGTTGAATTTCAACTTGTCACCAGTACTAACATGCCAGACCAAATACAAGATACCCTTACCTTCTGTTCAAATGAAGCTCCGTAATAACCATCATTGAGACCAAAAATAATCTCATTTGGGTTTCTTGCATGTATCTGTAAGAAGGGAAGAAAACAAGTTATTTTACAGTCAGCTTGCTATGACTTCACACTGCAAATGAGCATAAATTGCTCTGTTTGACAGTTAAATGCAGTTTTCCCTGTAAAGCACCTGGAATTCTAGCCACACATGAAACCTAAGAGAAAACTGAATTTAACCATAGAAAATGCATTTGCTTCACAGCTTTAGTAAGTCACTGAGTACGTTCAGCCATTCTACCTTGAAATCAGAAGCGATGGCCAGAGCATCTTACTGTTGCATTTCCAGCTGACAAAAATAATTAAGAGACCAGGAAATTAATCGAAAAGGTACATCTCAAGAGTAATTACCTTTTCACATCATATTACCTAAAATGATAGTCAGTATTAGGCTTTTGTGGTCATAGTAGACATAAAATTAGTGTTCAGTATTATAGCTAATATCCTGCTATTAACATAAAGAACATTATTTCAAATAAAATCATGCACTAGTGAATATTCTTTAGGAAGGCATTTCTTCTGTCCAGTAAAAACAAATGGAAAGCTAGACTCTGAAGGGTATTGTGTCTGGCAGCTATAGAGTTACTTTTCTTCATAGCAGTCCGTATGGTGCTGTGGTTTAGATCTGTGACTAAAAACACCAGTGTTCTAACTATTGCTGAATGGAGCTTGCACAGCACCAAGGACCGCTCTGTTTCTCACTCAGCCCCTACAGCAAGTAGGGCTGAGAGTGGGCAAAAGCATGGGAGGGTACACAGCTGGGACAGTGAGCTGAACTAACCAAAGGGATATTTCATTCCATACCATATAACATCATCCTTAGCAATAAAAACAGGGGTCAGTATTTGCAAGGTAGCTGTTGCTCAGGGACTGGCTGGGCATCGGTCTGTTGGTGGGAGGTGGTGAGTGACCTTTGCATCACTTGTATGTTGTTCTCCAGCACCACCACTTTTTTTTTCTTTTTTTTTTTCTTTCAGTTATTAAACTGTCTTTATCTCAACCCACAAATTTTTCCTCACTTTTGCTCCTCTGACTTTCTCCCAGCCCAGCAGTGCAGGGGGTGTTGGCCAGGAGCAATGCATCATGTGAAGCTAGAGCAGTCACTCTTTATAAAGCTTTCTTCCCAGGCTTTGAAACATCCCAATTATAAATAAATAATTTAGTTTTAAAGTGAGAAATAAACTATGATCTATTCTAAATAGATCCTATTAATTAATCAATCAAAAAGTGCCCACTAGAATTAGGACAGTCTATTTGATTCAAAAGGCACCATATTTTTAGCGTGTTTATTATTTATGTGATACGGGTTTGTTTTTTCTGAGCCACTCTTACTATAAGTTCCATAATACAGAAAACACCTCACTTTTCTTTCATAAGGCTATTAGTAAGAAACAAATACCAGAATTAAAACAGATCTTATTCAGTAAGCTTTTTGGACTGAAGATCTTCAATGCGATGTCATTACTATGACAATGGATTAAAACTGTAACATACACAAACATTATGACCTACGTTCATTTAACTGTACGTACAATCATATTGCTATTTCCTTGAATTGAGGCATTGCAATTTAAAGCACCAAGTGCTGGCAGTATCATGTAAGAGACTCAGTGAACAATGGTAGCATAAATATTCAGCAAGTCAAGATTTAAAGCTCTGAATTAAGCCAACATGAATCTCTGCAATCAAACTTTAAAATGCATTAATTTCCTTCTTAGCATTCTACGTATTTGTTCATCCAGATGTTTTGTTTCCAGAAGTAAAAAGTTGAGAAAAACCTGTTTTCACATTACCTGCTGGCCCAAGTACTTTAACCCATCTAGATTGACCTTCCATTCAATCAAAAGCTGAAAGTGCTCCTTCTTGCCACCCCAGATCCTCACAACAAAACAAGAGACAGAGGTATCAAGACGATCAGGCATTATTCCAAAGTCCAGACTCCTCCATGTTGGATTCTGTAGGTATTCAAAGAGGGATAAAAACCAACTCAAACAAGCTGAAAGTAGTCCTAAAATTGACAATTCAGAAAGTAGCAAGGTCCATGTCAAAGATTAAAAAGAAAAACAACCCTTCAGAATAATGAACACCAGCCATCTCAAGGTTTACACAGAGTTGAAGCCAACAGGCTCTGCTGCTTCCTTATTCTGTTTTCTAGAGAGAATTCCTGGGTTAAAAGCTACATGTTGTAAAGTCCTTCAGAAACTCAGAGTGGGCTCTGCTTCCTTCCATTACAAGATGTTGAAGAATTTAGTAATTCAGTTTAGCCAAATCAGGAACTTTAGAAGTAGAAGTAACATTCCTTTTCAAGTTCTAATTCAACTTCTGAAAACTGGAGTATAGCTTACATTGCAAGAAATTAATTTAAAATGCTGATCTGTTCCCCAATAATTAAGTTTGCACAATTTATTGACAGGTTTGTTCACATTCTTCTCTTCCTTGACTGATGCTGATGGCAATCCTCCAACGTTGTCACTAAGAGCTCCTCTTAACTCTAGAGATCAGACTTGCATCTCAGCTTTACAGAAGCAGTACAGATTAAGCTAAATTGCAAACACCTATTCCACTAGAACTCAGATTTGCAAACACTTGGATTCACCTCTGATAACATTTCAATTAAATATTTACGGAAACTGTTGTAATTGACCCAAGTTGCAACTGAACCAAGTCAATCCAACACTACTGGTGCCAAGAGCCAGATATAAACCTTCCACAGGCCGTAAGTCACAGGATGTCCAAATGTAGAAATGGGAAAGTGCTTTTTACATAAATAGATATATCCCTCCCTGCCTGCAAACAGAAATGGTAGCTCCTCCAGAACAAAAGGTAGGACCCCACCATCCCATAAAAGACAAAGCCTTCATTCTAGTCCTTAAGCAGCTTGGAACAGGCTGAGCACCTCTGAATTGGTATTAGGCAATTTAGAATAGGATGCCTCTGAAAAGAGGGGAGGGGCAAAGTTACCCAGTAAGTATTAAAGTATTAAAGAAGGAATGCATTAATCAAGTTTTCCTAAGGAAAAGGGATATTTGGTACCTATTCAGGCACAAGAATAACAGGTCATTAAAATACTCATAGATGATGTACAGAATTTGCTCAAGACATCTTTTATTTAGATTTTTGTCATTCCATCTCATATTTCCTTTGGTTAGATTCCCTTTCTGTTATTCCTTTTTCCCAATTTAGAACAGGCAGAACTCAAAATCCTCAAGAAACTTGCCTCTTGGACAAGTTAACAGCCTTGTGGATGTAGACAGCCCTTTCCCCCATTCAGGAGGTTTTCAAAGCATTTCCAGCCCTGTATGCAATACATGGTGCAGTTCTACCTTATTAATGCAGACATTAAAAAGTCTGTTTAGCAGGTTTTCAAACTCCCTTACCCAACACTTGCAACATCCTACTCCCACAGACACCTACTCCTCCTCAGTTGTAGTAAACTGTTCAGTTCTGGCCCCTTCACTGATCTGAACTGGAAAATGTAGAAACTCTAAGACATTTTTCAAACTTCAGTTTCTTAAAGCTATTAGCTCTTCAAAGAATACACATGTTTATATATGCAGGTACACGTTCCTTACTGTTCACCTATACAATAAAAAGATGGTCAAAGAAATCAGTGGTATACTCTGCAACGCTATTTGACTCTCCCTTTATTTGGAGTGTTGTTAGCAGGGCCTCTGCTTCTAAACCAAGACTGCTAAACTGCACAGCATGAGCTTCTAATGAATCTGTACACCCAGCAAAGTAATATACAAGTGCTCCTTGAACAAGCAATTTGCAGGTATTTAAATAAGAGTAGCTATTTCTGTTGCTAACACCAGCAAGAACAAAAACAAGGATGAACTGTAAACAAACCTGAGTTATGATTTATACAATTCTCAGATATTGAAAGAAGTTAAATGAGTAAAAATCCAGCTAACATTACCTTGCCTATTGGTGGTCTCAATATTTAAAATGGATACATATTGTAAAGCTTAACCTGAGCACTGAACAGCTTTCACATGAATATGCCCTACCTATGGAGTGTTTAGTCCTATCTGCAGTACCACCACCAGACCATTGCTCCACAGCTGTTAAAGCGAACATGCATTTCTACTATTCAGTAACTCGCTATTCCAACCCTTGTGAAAAGAACCTGAAAAGGAAGAGAAGAATGCGATGGTCCTAGTAGAACCGAAGAGTGGAAGTACACATTTAACAATTATGGTATTCAGCAGAAAAAAAAAATCAATACACTGCAGTAAATACTCAATTTTTAAAAGAAAGTTTTTCCATATTAAAATAACTTACCAGAGAATTCTTGATCACCTCACTCTTATAAAATTCTAAGGAAAAATGAGTAAAAAACACCTTTAGATTAGCTTAAACACTGATATAAATCTTAGTATTTGAATTAGAAAAAGCTAAAATAAGTAACACTCATGAAAGACAAATGCTAGTGGGTCTAGTTTATCAGTAATAGATTCATGAGAAAGACTTTAAAATGCAGTCATGCTTTTGACTAAAGGTACTCATTCACACTTAATTATTAAAAGTCATTATTTAAATTCAGCATTTCATCTTTATACCCAAGATAATCCTCAAGATTTACTGAGGCTTTGGTTTCTGGGGAAAAAAATGTGCCCCAGTACTTTACAATATTTGGATGACATTTGCAAAGTGACTAGTTTGTCATACGACATCTTCCTGGAGGAGTGCAGCATGGAGAAACTAATTGCATGGCTTTCCTGAAGAGCAAGGGTGACCTGTTCCAGATGCTTAGAAAGTGAACAGCCAAATTATCTCACAGAGGTGCCAGGAACCCTGCATTTAAATGGCAATAAGCAACTGCTGACACATGGACCTTGGCTTTCCCAGCCAAAATAAGAGCTTAAAGTCTTTAGGTAGACAGCTCTGGAATCTGGAATCCAGATTTTGTACAATATTCCTCAGTCCACTGGAGTCCAAAGATAAAGCTTTGATGGTGTGCAGAACAGTCCCGTACACCAAACGATGTAGAATTAGTGATCAGTTACAGGTTCAGCCAACCACCACAAGTCCAAGCAGTAAGCTCAAGTTATGCATTCTTATCCTTCTAAAACAGCAACCTTGAAGAAAAGCAAGGTTCAACTACACTAGCTGAAAATAAAAAATAGGACAAAATCAAAATTCCTTTGCAAAGCTCCAACTACAGATCATACAAAAAAAAGAGCATAAAAATGTATTTTTAATAACATCTGTCCACAATGAAGAACTATACATTGTAGTGGAAAGCAAAGCATTAAAGAGAAATGAGATCTAACACTCAAACACAGTTATCAAAAGCGGAACAGACCCCTGGATGCTTCCTGTCATTGGCTGACAATTCTATTTTTGGAAAACTTTGATAGTAGTAAGTTCTCGTTTATGCTCTGTAAAATAACTGGTACACACAGAGTGGGACACTCTCCCCCACACAAAGCAACAAATGCTCCAGAAGTTTTTCTGTGCTCTCGGAAGTTCCCAAGTCTAAATTATTGGTGAGGGGAGAGAAGAGCAACAAAAAGAGGCTGATTTAAGAGATTCTACCACCGGTCATCTGGTTTGCTTCCTTACTTGCTAACACTATTAGTATACATGATGCGAATAATGGCAGCAGGTTGTCGAGGGGAAAAAAAAAAAAAAAGGACAGGGAATTCTGAACATAAGAATTCAAAGATTAACTAGTAAAAAAGTTGACAGCAAGCCCAGTTTACCTTTGTATATCTTGGCGTTATCACACAAGTGAAGAGTGAAGTACGTATCCAAGAGGCGATAACCATTCTTATTGATAATGTTACGTGCAGCAATATTCCGAAGATGGCGAAGCCGGCGCTAAAAATAAGAAAAAAAACCCTAAATAGTTAAAGAAGTTAGACTGAAATTAGACTTTTTTTTTTTAATTATTAAAGCATTTTAATGATTTCCAAAGCACTGTTGTCAAAAAAATCCTACTGAACACCCAATTTTCTTTGGCAGAAAGCTAGTGTGAACAATAAGCATTCAGCAAAGCCATAAGAAACTGGCTGGACAAGTAACAACCAGCACCTACGAGCTCAGATTAAGCAACACCGATATACAAGACAAGCTATTCTTATTCATGTCCTATATGCAGGTTTTATTCCACGTTTAAATCACCCCAACTATTTCAGCAGTTTCAAGCAAATGTGTGACACTATCAGCATCAAACAGCAGCAGGATCACCCAAGTGTTCTGCATCATCGTACGGGAAACAATTCCTTGCCAAAGCTATTTTCAACAAGTACTAGTGAATCAAGAGCTCCAAAATAAACCACGACCTAATCCAGAGCCATACATAACCTGCTTTTGAACAAAGCTTCCTGAATTCACAAGAATCCTGGAAACCGCTCTAACAACCTTAAATAAATACATCAGGAAGATATACCCAGATTTTCAGGGAAAATTAAGGTCACAGTCAAATTTGTGATGTCCGTCAGCTACCTTCTTTCTTGGACAACCAAGTCCTTTTCTCTTGGATTGAATACACTAGAATATGTCACTAAAATCTCCAGTTTAAGTGATTTCATCCAATTCCAACAGTGTATTATTTTGCTACAATATGGTATTTCGAACAATCAGACTGAATCAATCTCTCCCTGTGTCTCCCTGCCCTCCACCTGTAAGCAGGAAACAGCTTTAATAACTGGCTAAAATCCTCAGCTTTAAAGCATACTATGCCCTTCAACTTTGACAAATATTTAGCATTATTAGCTTATTGTTAAATTTAACTAGTTGACAAAGCAATTTTGTAGGACTGCCCAGTCACTCTTATGTCACTGCTTAGCTGTGGTTCTTATTTTAACTTTGAAAATGCCTGCATGCTTAAAACAGACTACTATGAACTTAGCACTCAGCAAACTGCCACTTGAAATACATAAAGCACGCACCAAATCCTTCAGTATCACGTTCTCCCAATTAATCTCCCAACCGGTGTCTCGCCCATCTACCACAAGGGTGTTGACAAATGGCTCCTTATCATTTTTGGATTGCCACAAACCACCTACAAGCCTCAAAACAACTGGTTTAGTGCAGCTTTTTACCACAGAGTTCATTTTACAGCATACTTTTTCCCCAAAAGCTTGTTAATTTGTAAGTCTGGATCCACCTTAAAAAAAAACTCTCACATTGACCAAAAGAGGATTTAAAATGCTTTCGAAACCAAAAGACAACTTTTCTGTTTGCAGCTTGTCCTAAAATGCTTTTAACAAGAGCTGAAAGGCCATCTGTTTTGGAATCACAATATAACACTTCATATTACTTAATATCACTTAAGTGATATTAGTTTTCCTTCCTGGAAATATATAACAGAAACATTGCATTTCTGTTCATGTGACTGACAAAACCACCAGTGGATTCATTCCTTCAAAGTCTATTAATGAGTTAGACTAAAAACAGAGCCTGAGATGGCATGCCCAGATATCTCTACCATATACATGCAATACAAAATGAAAAAAAAAAACCTTCCAAGCTGTCTAATTGCAGAACAACATGGTCTTATTCTGTTAGAAATTGGTATCAAAAATGTCAACAGAAAGATTAAGCCTCATTAAAAAACCACGATATGGATCTTGTACATTTTTCAAATCTAATCTTAAAGCTGTGTAGTTTTGCTGGCCATTTTTATGAGCAACTGAAACACTCCTTTAGAAATGGCTTTGAACATACATTGCACTCCCTATAAAACTCTGCAATCATTTTTATGTGCCATATAGAATCATCAGACAAACACAGAATGGTTTGGAGGGGACCTCAAAGCCCATCCAGTTCCAACCCCCTGCCATGGGCAGGGACACCCTCCACTAGCCCAGGCTGCCCAAAGCCCCATCCAACCTGGCCTTCAACACTGCCAGGGAGCCAGGGGCAGCCACAGCTTCTCGGGGCAACCTGGGCCAGGGCCTCAGCACCCTCACAGGGAAGGATTTCTGCCTCCCATCTCATCTCCATCTCCCCTCCTGCAGCTTCAGGCCATTCCCCTTGGCCTGTCACTCCCTGCCCTTGTCACCAGCCCCTCTCCAGCTTTCCTGGAGCCCCTGCAGGGACTGGAAGGGGCTCTAAGGTCTCCCCGCAGCCTTCTCTTCTCCAGGCTGAACCAGCCCAACTCTCTCAGCCTGTCTCCAGAGCAGAGGTGCTCCAGCCCTCCCATCATCTCCGTGGCCTCCTCTGGACTCGCTCCAACAGCTCCATGTCCTTCTTGTGCTGGGGACCCCCGAGCTGGACGCAGTACTGCGGGGGGGTGGTGTCAGAGTGGAGTAGAGGGGCAGAATCCCCTCCCTCAACCTGCTGGTGATGCAGCCCAGGGCATGGTTGGCTTTCTGGGCAGCCTTATCTCTTGCTTAATTAACTTCAGTATCATAAAAACCAATTATCTACCAGGCTTATTCCCCCCCCCCCCTTGTTTTTAATCCCTTACAACCCAAGAAGGATAGCCCATATAGCATCTAACAGAGTGGCCAACTTTCTCCAGGTCTTTTTAGGATTGCAATCTTATAGTGTGACTGGTTTTAGTAGTATGTTACAATGAAGTAGCCCTCAAGCAAAGCCAAACAATTTTCTTGTCTTTCACTATATGCAATGAGGTTTGGAAAAAGCTGTAGTGTCATAACCTACAGCTGCACCTCTCACAAGAGCAGAGTCCTTATCTCCATGGTTTGTGACTTCTTTGCATCCTTCAAAGTCTGGAATTTACCCCAAAGTCTAAAGTCTCACTTCTCCCAAGCAGAGGGGGGAGATGTTCTTCTCCCAAGAAGAGGAACATTAAATATGGGGCTGTGAAACCACACCACAGTTGGAATGTCTATGTAAATCACCAACTTAGTTATCACCCTCCTCCTCCCTCCTGTGCCATTACTTGTCCATTTAGCCTAGCTGATAGGGAACAAGTTTCCAACTACATGGACAATTTTCTTGTTCACATTCTTTAGTATGAGGTCATGACGACAGAGGGACTTGGATTCTGAAAATAAATCTTCCAGTTTGCCCACTACATTGTCACCGATATTATATTGTATTATTCAGATTTCCTCAGAACTCTACAGAGGTAACATTCATCAATTAACCTCTCCTGACCAAAGATAATTAGCTTAGCCAGGAGACCATCAATTCTGAAGACATATCCAAAAGACAATTAAAATAGGCTCTCAAGTTCTTCCTCAAGGCCTTGCAGCTGTTCTGTGACAAACAATAAGTATTATTTTGAGGGAATTTTCAAATCTCTAGTGTCACCTCCTATGTGTTTCATTCATTTTTGCTCGAGATATTAGAATACACAAAACAAAAACCCCACTGTGCTGTAGCTCAGCTATTACCAGCATCAGCCAAATTGCCCTGCTGCCAACCCCCGCTGCTTATTCGCACTGCTGCATCACCCTCCTCATTTGTACCACCATAAATAAGCACTTGTGCAGCTGCTCAGTGAATCTCACTGGGGAACCGATCCGGACGAAAACTAACCACCTCTCCCTTTTGCTGGGTTAGTTTCACCAGATCAGTTCCTCAATATGGTTCACCATGTGGCCGTACAAGCAGCTGGGCTGATGAAAGAGGGGACAGGACCGCTTAAATGAAAGTACCAGCTTAAAATATGTGCGGGGCTACATACAGCCCGGCACCTCTACAAGCAAAGTGAAAAGCAGCGTACAATGAGGTATCAGTGGATTTCAAACTGCAAAAGCAACTCTATGGAGAAGTGACCCATTACACTTTACACTGAATACAGTAGCTGCAAATAATCCCGAGTTATTTTATTTCCTTATTCTTTTAGATGAAGTGGGAAAAAGGACTCACTTCTCAAAGACAAGTTTTAACTTCTCAAAGACAAGTTTTAAATATCTTCATCATAAGGAGGGATCCCCACAGATGAGATGCTGTGCAACTAGAACAGCCATTCCAAAAAGACTAGTTTAAAAAAAAAAATCAAAATACAAGTGCTAAAAACCCTAAGTGCTTTGGCAGCCTCATGAGTCACACAACTTAAAACAGGCCAGCTGTGTTTGCAAGCTGATAGCACAGGATCTGCTTTCATAAAAAAGATAAGCAAAATATGCAGATGAGTATAGATAATTCTCACCGCTATCTCCTCAAACAGTTGACAGTCTATCAGCAACACAGTACTGATTATTTCAGACATTACATCAGGCATCTTAGTAAGATATCTTACTGCAGAAAAAGTTATTTTTCAGCAGAGCACTGATTTAGGTAGGCTCTGACAAGCAGAACTGGTATCATTAAAAAGGGTATTTAACTTTTCCAACACCTCTGAACTTAGTGCAGGCATCCTGAATGATGGTGTATCTGGATGGTTGCTTAGCAGAGTAGTAGAGCAGGTTTAACAGCTCATTCTAGGGGATTTGTGACACTCAAGTTATTTTGATTACCACAATTGTCCTAGTCCTCTGCACTTCCCAAGAAAGTTGATGGAGCAGCAAAATGACATGGTAGGCCTTGTTATCATTTGATTTAATTGCCAGTCTAAGTTGCCATTGAGTAAAAGTAACTGCTACACAGCAACTCTGCACTGATCTACATGAAACAATTTAGTGCTGCCTTCTACCTCGAAAATTAATGACTACAAACCAGAAGAGATCCACTAATTTTCCCTTCAAACAAATCCTGAGTAGCAGCTTATATTTTACAAACACTGCTGGAGGTAAAGATATCCCAGGTTATAAGCATACAGCTATCCCAAAGACTGATCAGGAGAGCAGAGCCTACCATCAGGTTTCACCTCTCATGCCTGCAGAGCCACAAAACTGGCTTCCCAGACTTCAACAGCAGCATCTTGACAGACCTGCTACAGAGTGCATTGAGATCATCAA